CCATCTCTCTGCTGTTGAAAACTTCCCACTCTTCTCCCTTAGGCATAACATCACTGAGAACTGTGCTTGCCCAGGGTTTCTCCAGCAGTGCTGGAGTCTGAGCAGGCAAGGACAGCAGAGTCAGACATTCCTATACACCCTCCAACCTGCACTGTCACCTCACTCTGAGGTTCAGAAGCAGTTTACACCTCTGGACTGGTGCATCTTTGCAATGTTTTAATGTCAGAGGGGTAATGCACAGGGCTGCACCAATACCCAATCAGCACAAGAAAATCAGCATGTGCACATGGGGTGTTTTGGTACAAGCACAGTCTGTAACTGCTGTGACAAACCCTCCTCTATATACCAGTTGTCTTAATGACTGGGAACTTGGCTCTTCTCAGAACCACTAAGTCCCCTTCAACAAGTCACAGAAAGAGGCTGGCAATGCCTGATACTAGAAACATATTCTTCATGTAACACATGCAGTTGAAAGAAATAACATTCACTGCCAAATTTATTAACATTTCCTTTTGGCCGACAACTTCATGGCTCAGCTTTTTTTCCCTTAGTAAATGCAAGTATAGACAAAGCAGATAAAAATCAAGTGTAAAACCTCTAATTCTGAGCAAAAGAACTGTCTCAGAGCAATCCAGAAAAAGCTTCTTTATAGACACCTCCACTAAACTTTTTATGCCCCATAAACTTCTACCTACAAGATGGATCACTAGGTTTAATGTTACAAGACAACCTTCCATCTCTGCAATGTTTCCAGGAGCTGTAAAAGTGGAGTCACTAAGTTTTAGTGTATTTATGGTAGTTGTAAAATAACCCAGTTTCTTTTCGAGATTGCTCGTGTGTGACGCTTATAAATTGCTCAAGACAATATAGTCCTTCTGGTGTTAAAAACAGACGTGCAAACAGGCTCCTTGTTCCCCCTAAGGAGTCCCTAGATAGGCAGCTCCAAAAACAACAACTGGATGCAGGCTCTGATTGCCTGAGCAAAACAGCTTTAAATTGGATTACCGGTTCCCCAAGAGATCCTGGTTTGCCATCTTTGCCATCATTCCCAGCAATGCCCTGTAAATGAAATGCAAAACACAGTATAAGAAATCGATAGGGAAGATTGGTGGGGTTTCTGTCCGTGTGACAATGGCTCATCATGGCATGCTTATGTTCAACTAAACCTGCAAACCACACCCTACTTCTATAACTCAGCCATAAACCTCTCCCTACTACACCACTGTAACAGCATAAATGGTTTTCTGTTACACCACTGTAACAGCATAAATGGTTTCCCTTTTCAATTTGGCAAGTCTAAGGGGTTTCCACCTTTCCAGCAAGATAAGCAGTCCAACAATCTTGAAACAGGATTCTAAAACCAGCTGCTTTTTAAATCATTGTAATGCCATTACCTTCATTCAGGTAGGCTACTTTACACTAGAAATAGTTCTGATCCTGTCCTTATGACAGATTAAAAAAACTCTCAAATTATTGTACTATTACACTTCCCAGAAGAGAGGAGTCTATGCCCAAGATGCGCTTGAACTTCCATCAGTGCAAAGGCAAAATTTCGACTATGGATTCAGATAAAATCAGTATCCTGGTCTGTGAATTCTTGTGATCTTACACTGAGGTTATTAGTTGATTTTTGTGCTCTGCATAAGAATATTTCTTCCAATGAGGATGCAGATAAGGAACAGACCTGACTGATGTTGGTCATTAACGCTTCACTTTAGAATGATCAAACGCAGCCTTCACACTGTCCTGGACCAAGGACATTGGATCAACATGATGGATACCATTATAGATCATGTGTAGCTTTCAAAGCAGCTCAAAACCATCATTTCTTTGTTTTACACACCTATGTGTTTACAAACAGTTTAATGTATTGAATTAGAAGGAGCTTAGTTGCACTCACTGGGAGTCCAGGCAGCCCTGGTGGGCCCTGTGGACCTGGTGGACCATCTTTGCCCTGGAAGGAAAGAACAAACATTGTGGGTCAAACAAAGCTCCTCACATGCTTCTATCAGATAAAGATTTATCACACATAGAGTTTGACAAGATATAACTCTGACAAGATGGTCTTGTACCCCATGTCACACAGTCTATGAGGTTCCTTTGAACTCCTTCTAGTTTAAATTTGAGGGCTCTCTTGTCATATAAAAACCCCTCTGTATTAGCTATGAGTTCTTACAGATTGAGAAGCCACTGAAATCACTAGTAATTTTTTCTGAAGTTTAATTATATGTACTATTTTGACATTAACTTCCTGCATGAGGTGTCGAGTCAGGAAGCAGATCTATATTTTACACTTATTCAAAAAGTGCCTTGCTGACAGTCCCTAGAAATTCCCTTAATACACAGGACTGGACAATAGTACCCCAGTTCTTTCACAGTGATCATCCATTTGAAATGGAATTTCAGTCAGCTTGTCCATCTAGTCTCTGACTTCTCTGCTGAGAATGTTGACTGATTTTGAAACAGCCATCAGAAGGAACATCACTGCTCACTTCTGATGAAGTTGAAATGGATATGCAAAAGGCACTTTGCTTCTTATGGAAGTCTGTTCTAGAAATTAATCACAGAATTACAAACTGTTCCTACTCAACAGCATGCATTCCTCAGGGAAGGTTAATTTTTAACTCTTCAACCTGAAGTTAGCATCAATCAGATTACCTGTCTCTCCCAGAGTTTTCAGATGCATCACCATAAAGTAGCATCTGAAAACCCTTCAAATGAAACAGCAGTAGCAAAATTCTTCATGAACTTCTCAAAGATTACACCTGTACTGCTATGTTCAATGGTGCCAGGGAATGGTCTCAGGCCCTAACATCTGAGCAATCTGTGCCGTGATATCCTTCATCGGGTTGCTGGTTATATTTTGATAATCCTCATGCAAAGTTCAGGTATTAGCTTGTGTCATGAAGCAGCCTAACAGACTAAGTCATCCTGCTCTAGAGGCTGAGATGTTAATAGCAAAGACTGAGAGACAAGAGGTCCTATAGACTCCATAGAAGTCCTATGAACTAGATTATGCTCTGGCTAATTATGAGTTTCATTTGGTGAGTAAAAAAAATTTGAAGGAACAGAATAATCTGTGGTTATTTGTGGATGTTCTGCTTCCAGGTATGGATTCCATTCAGGCTGAGTGTTTTGGGTACCTTTCAAAGGACATTACATGGGTTCCAGCTCAGCTTTACTTCACAGAGCTAAACATAAGTGAAGCCAGTGGTGAAACTTACTATGTCTCCTGGGTTTCCTGCTGGTCCTATTGGTCCTGGTGCCCCATCTGATCCCTAACAAAATAAAGCAGAAACAAAGTGAGTGATTCATGCATTTTGTATCTTTCTCAACACATTCCCTACTACAGTTGGCAAATCTGAAGTTTTCTTCAGTCATTCAGTTCAGCATTCATTCCATTTCTTCGTTCAACACCAAAAAGCAGTGACAGCCTCTGCACCCAATCAGATTCCAAAACTATTTGAGTTTGGCCCTGGCCCTTCCTTTTAAAAACCATGGACAAATAGGAAAAAGCCAATATTGTGACAAAAATAACTGCAGAACAGAAACTATGGGAGCAGTTTGAAGCACACTGTGTGGCAGGCAAGATTCTGGAGCCATGAGTCAGTGCAGACATAGGGAAAAGCCAGCAAAAGTTGACAAAACTTTTGATTTAAGAACAAAATTATCTAAGGGAACATCACGTTTTGCTCTGCTTTGGCAGACTCACTTTTGCTTTGTACATTTCTTTTGGCCATGAGTCCATTCAGGAGGTCTCATAGGACAATTTTAAGTGTTTTCATCCGACTGGAATAACCTTGTGGCTTTGACAGTATGAGGTTAATACAGACACGGTAAATGTGTCTGTTATTAGTTTCTCCTAAAATAATGCTCACAGGAGCTCAAATGACCCACAAAGCCAGGCCACATGTTGTCCCAGTGGCAAAGCATCCAGCATCCTTTAGGCACTGCTACCCTCTGAAAATGGAATTTTAATCTAATCCTCTTTTCTGGTATGTCCTGTCATTTAGTCAGTGCAATGTAAATTCAGACCATGCTGATCCCCAGAACAGATGAAGGCTGCACACCCTCAGCATGGCAGATCCAAACTGAACTTTAAGCAGCAATATGAGCAGTGATGACTGTGGGCAAAAAAACGTGGTTTGAAGAGAAAAGTCTTTCACTCAGAAGAAGACCCAGCTCATGGAGGATATAAGTGGACATATCACTGGCAGGAGAGCCAAGATATTGCAGCCCTGATTCTGCACTGTCATCACTTTTTAAATACAAAGAAACATAATTGCATTCGTGGAGAGAGTAGAGCTAGGAATGAGGAAGACTTTGATGGAGAGGGACATGTGTAAAAGGCCTTTTAGTCTTTCACTCAGAAGAAGACCCAGCTCATGGAGGATATAAGTGGACATATCACTGGCAGGAGAGCCAAGATATTGCAGCCCTGATTCTGCACTGTCATCACTTTTTAAATACAAAGAAACATAATTGCATTCGTGGAGAGAGTAGAGCTAGGAATGAGGAAGACTTTGATGGAGAGGGACATGTGTAAAAGGCCTTTTAGTTCAAAAGCCAGTGGAGTGGAGAAGTTCAAAAGCCAGTGGAGAACCACAAATATTATTAAGGGACAGGAGCATCTCTTGCAGGGATAGGCTGAGAGAGTTGGGCCTGTTCACCCTTGAGAAGAAGTGGCTGAGAGGGACCCTCATCAATGTCTGTAAGTATCTGAAGAGAGGATGTCAGAGGCTGGAGCCAGGCTCTTGTCAGTGTTGACAAGCAATAGGACAAGAGGCAATGGGCAGAAACTGATGCACAGGAAGTTCCACCTGAACACGAGGAAGAACTTCTTTACTGCACGGGTGAGCAAGCACTGGCACAGACTGCCCAGAGAAGGTGTGGAGTCTTCCTCACTGGAGATATTCAAGAACCATCTGGATGCAACCCTGTGCCACGTGCTCTAGGATGATTCTGTGGGAACAGGGAGGTTGGACCAGATGACCCACTGTGGTCCCTTCCAACCTTACTCAGTCTGTGATTCTGGGATATGAAAATTGAAAAAAAACCCAGTCTCATACCACTGTGTAAAATTGAGAACTAAAATGCTCTTCTGTCTGCTGGTTCTAGACTAATAACTTACTCCACATACAGGAAAACACCTACTAAATAGTCTCTGTGGAAGGGTTGTCATCATCGTTGTGCTGTATAAAGAGATCAACTGAAGTTTATCATCAATTTAGAGTAAGTTGAAGCAATCAGTGAAAAGTGGCCAATGTATTAAATAGCAATTACCATGAGTGGGGAACACTATGGCACTCAAGGCACCATTAGGAACCCACTGGAAAATGCAAATTCAGTGCACAGACAGATGGGAATGGTCATTTCTACCACATGGAGTTTGCAACACTCTTCATTAGGAAGGAAAGTACAGGACTATCTTTGTAACGAGTGAACTTACAGGTGGACCAGGGTTTCCAGGAGCCCCTGAGAAGCCAGGCATTCCAGGGTGGCCCTGCAGAATGAAAAGAGAGACTTTCTTTACACATTATTCACACCCCTAATTGTATAAAAGCTAACTGGTGAATATTGTGAGGTAAAATCAAAATTAAACAATACACAGAGAGCTGGTTATAAAAAACTAAAGAACCATGACTTTTCAAAGTGAAAACTTGGTTTTCAGGGTGTATACTCCAGAAATATAGTTAAATTTAAGGTGCACTTTTTTCCAATGTGTACAGCAGTCTATGCTAATGGAAGATGAGAATAGATATTGTGAAATCGTACAAGACAGGAGGACAGGCAGGAAAATAAGCCTATTTAAAATATCCTACAAATCTCATTGAAAAGGTGCTGATTTGCACCTTAAACTAGTGACTCAGCCCTTGGCAAAAATACCTATGAAAGTTTGCTTTAATTTAGACCAGTCTCCTGTTTCCTGTGACAACCTAGTCCCTCCTAAAAGGGGTCATCCTTACATTCATCTTCTAAAGCAAATAGAAATACTTTTTCAACCCAAATACACCTGACCTCTCAGACGTCATCTAGGGATTAGCTAAGGAAATGACTAAAGGTTAGTTAATACAGAGAATTGAACACATTCAATCCAGAGCTGAGGAAACAGATGGCACAGGAAGGTTTTTTTGGAGATGGGGATGAAAGCCTGTGGAGGATTGCTACACTTCCACTCTCCAGCATGCCCCATTTGAGGTTTATCAGTGATGAAGAGCTCTCATCTTCCTCCTCTGTCTCTGAGAAGGGCATCCTTCTACAGACATCATAGGAGTTACAGATGAAGGAACAATCACAGTGACAGCACTATTGGGAAACACTGTTTTTACCTGTTCACCTTTTTCTCCTACATCCCCAGTCATACCACGGTCTCCTTTAGCACCCTGAAAAAAAAGTCATTGAAAGTCAGTTAGATTCAGCATTGTGTCAGCTTTTTGACCTATTTCTTAAGGTACTTGAACATTTGAGTATAAAACTCATGAATTATGACTGAGTCTTGCTTATCCTCCTCTTAAATTCTTCCCTAGATTTTCACTACCAGTGCTGGAGCCAGGAATATATGAGAAGGATGGCCTTTGAGCACACCCTGCACAGCTCGTTTTCTAAATGTTGTAGTCTCACAGACATAAAGAGGAATTACACATCCTTAAAAGCAGGCAGGTTGTTAGGAACTTCACTAAATCATATCCTGATAAGGAATCACCTGGCCCAACAAAGGCATCCACAGTATGATCAAGTAATTGCTTCACTCTTCAAGGACAGCAGCAATAACAATGGCATTTCTAAGGTGTAGCCAGAAAATTCACACCCAGAAAGTGCTCCCCTCTTTCTCTCTCTGCCCTAGTGACACAGAACAGATAGCTAACTCAGATGTAGATGTCTATATTGCCAGTGGTTAAAGTAAGGCAAGATGAGTCTCACACAGAAAAAAAATACCGAGGTGATTGTGAACAAGTTATGAACAATGCACAGAACAATAATGAATCGCTGGCCATGGAAATAATACTCTGTTTTACTACATGAGAGCTAGGGTGAGAGACAGGGTTGCTATTCATTAATTAAAAGAGGTCTAATTCATATGGCCAGAGGGCATGAAGCTGCTCATGAGCAAAGAGCTGCAGTTGTACTGCTCTGTTCCAGAGTGGGACCTAATAGTTTGGATGGTGTTGACAAGGACAATATGCCACAGTCAAAAGTGCAGAGCAATTTGGGTCTTCTAGTGCAAGGATCCTCCTAATGTATGTAGAAAGGTGTCACAAAGACTCTCTTTGTGTTTACATCTTCCCAGGGGTCTTAAAATACCCTCTTTTAGCATTTGCAAACTATTATACTGAATTTAAGTTAGATGATTTATCAAATACTTTATTTTATTTTATGCACATGTACAGTTTAAAATTTGTCCTGTTAGTTCACTTAAACATCCAATTTTGCTGCCTAAATATCTGCTTTCTCATAACATATAAGAAAGCAGCAGATCTGGTGTGTCTCAGACTGCTTGGCATTTCTGCAAGTTATTGGCTTTATGGGCTACTAATTCTCTTGAAAATTTTATCCTGGAACATGCTTTCATTTTGATCAACTCTGTGTTTACTTCTGAGACTGTACTGCTCTCCCTACCATATGTTTAATTACAAGATAAAAAATTAATTCATGAGCTCTACTAGCTTGTCCTACACTCCAAAAAGTGCAAATACAAAGATGTTAAAATAGCAGAAGCTATTTTAGACAGCAAATCAGTAATGCAGGTATGACTGGAGGAAACTGTGGTCCATCATGAAATCACCTTCTCTCTCTCTCTGTTGATTTGTTTTTCTTTGTTTCACATAAGGCAGTTGTAAAGGTTTTAACTGTGATCAGGCAGTGGCACTGTGAGCAGACTGACGTCCTATTCCCTCTTCATGGGAAATGCTTGAAATGTGACATTATTGGAATCCTTCAGACAATGGAAGTTTTATATTAGCCTATGTCCCTAGACCATTAGGCAGAAGCATAGATCTGAAACACGTTCTTCCTATAATATGTTTCAGGAAATATTCAGCCTGTGAGTAAACCCACTATGGTAGATGGTGTGCATGGAGCCCATTGATTCAGCATATAAGATTCAAAGAGGTGAGGATCAGGCATGGTGGTTACTGCTGAGGCTTTAATTTCTTCTTCGCCTGATCTGGGCTGAAACTTACTCTCAAGTCCTTATCTGTCATCAGAACACCAATGTAATGAAATTAAACAGAAAGAATCAGGTTCTTCACCTGTGTGTGTCTGTGTGTCTGTGTGTGAGCAAAGGGTTGGTAGAAGACACTTTTTAAGTGAAACTGTGTCCATGTGGGGAGCTGTACAGTTCTTACAACCCAACAAGCCTCTCCTACTTCTTTACACAGAGATGGAAGCCACCAAGTTCCTGCTTCAGCCACTACACTCACAGTATCATAGAATGGTATGGGTTGGAAGGGACGTTGAAGACTGTCTAGTTCCAATCCCCCCTTGCCATGGGCAGGATCATCTTCCATTAGAACAGGTTTCTCAAAACCCCATTCAATCTGTACTTTAACATTACCAAGGATGGAACATTCACAACTTCTCTAGGCAACTTGTTCCCAGAGTAATTACTGTGACTAACTAGTCACAAATAAATTTCCATTAGACAACCTACAAACCTTTGGGCCATCAAGCCCAGGTGGGCCCACAGGACCTCTGGGACCAGCAATACCCTGCAATGCAGAACAGGTAGAGGTAAACACTAGTTTAGTCCATTGACTCCACAGGTATCTGAAAAGACTCAGTAGGTTGTTCCAAAAAAATAAGAAGAAAAAAACCTCAAAAAATCCCAACAAAAAACACCCCCAAACCAACCCCTCAAACCCACCAAGTCGTCTTATAAGAAACCATCAACTACATTATAAGCAAAAAAGGTTAAACCAGATCCAAAGCATGGTCACTTCCCCAACTCTCTTACCATTTTCCCATCCTGACCATCTCTACCTGGTGGTCCCCGGAGACCTCTATCACCTTTGAAACCTGGGATGCCTGGCAGTCCTGGTGGACCAGGAGGGCATTCACTGCACACATCCTAGGACAGAACATAGAGAAACACATCAGCAAAAGACTGCAGACACTTAGCTGACCCTACCGACACCCACTCTGAATGCAGCACTCTGGTACTCCTATAAAACATAAACCTTTGGAGTTTGATCTCACTGGGTAGGCTTGGCATGAATTTGCCTTACAGAACTGCAATGAGGGTATTGCAGAGCAGAGTGAAGGTCAGCAGCTGAGCTTACACATGCTCCCATGGGAAATTTCCTATCAGTTCCAGTTGAACAGGTCCTAACAGATCCTCCAGGTTCAAGAAACCAAGGAAAAACTCTTCCTGATGGGGAGGTCAGAGAACCACAAAGCAAGACGACCAAGAACAAATGAGTTTTGAAGCTACAAGACTACTGGAAAACTGTGTTTACACCACTTTGAAAGAACTGGGTTAACAATTAGATGCAGATTGTTGGGGAAAGAAATAGTGCAGCACAGTGTCAGAAAGGGTATTCTGCTGTGGAAACTGTATTCACCAGCTAACATGGACAAGGAGAACTCATCCAATGGAGCTTGTGAAGACCAAGTGAATGTCACTGTGTCCTGGCCAAAATTTTTCTTGGAGAATCACTGCTTCTCCCTTCCAAAGTTCTTTGAAGCATCATCTCAGTAGTATTTACATTTTAACTATTCTCAGGAAATTAAATACAACTTGCATTACATTTTTATTTCAAAGGCAGACTCTATTCAGCAAAAGGGGAAGGAATCCTGTCCAGATGAGACAGAGTAGCACAACAGGCAGATCATCAGGCTGAGAGTCAGGAGATCTTGCTACAACTCCCAACTCTGTCAGTGATCCATTGCAAAATTGCATGGTAAACTCCCTTTCTGAGTCTCAGTCCATACATTCACATTTATCCACTTATAAGTGCTTGAGAAAGACCCAGAACAACAGAGACCTAATTTCATTTGGGATTTCAAGGTGCTACTTTACATATATCTGTACCAAGTGTGGAGTGCAAAAACACCAAGCTGAAAGAATATGCAAGTGTGTTTAACCCTAACATCATCAAAGGAAGAATATGACAGAGCATCATCAAAATGACGTGCTGTACCCAAGAATGAGTCTTTTGTTTTCTCCTGATCAAAATCCAAAACAGTACCATTCAGTGAGATCTCCAGAAGAATACTTGGCTCCATAAAACAGATAGTTCTTCAATGAAGTAATTTCACAGGATCCTTTTGGTAATGAAATTGGTAAAGGAAGGTATATTTTTAGTTTCTTTTAACTAATAAGAAAGGATTTCTTGCTATGTCTCAAGACTGTTAAAAACCTCTGAACTCAGCCTATGTAAATCTGTACAGATTTTGCAGTCAACGCCTATCAAAGACTGACTTGTTTCCCAGAAAACTCTACATGGGAAGTAAAAGCAGACAGATCATCACCTTTGAAACATGGATGCTTCTGGGATTAATTACCTGCATCCTTTTAGATGCACAATGCAAACTGACTTTGCAGCCACAGTTCAATATTACTCCAGGCACTGTTGAAGGTATATGTGAAAAATTAGCTATTTTATTAAAATGATTTCCATTTTCAGGCTTAGATAATACAACTTGACAATATTTATTTCTCCTTGGAAATGCATGGCTCAGAAAGAGCTGAGAAACTCTGAGAGCTTTTGTAACATACACCATGTTATCTCTGTAGGTAGATCTTTGTAGGTCATTTCACTGCTGGGGACAGGATTTTGATCTTCAGTGTGAGCTCTAGTGTCCTGTGCAAGCAGGAGACCTGCAAGTTTCAAGCTTTGACGGAGTGTTTAAAGGCACCTTTTGCACTTGTAGCTCAAGCAGTTTCTCATCACAGAGTATGTCAGGTCTGAACCAAGCATACAGACAAACTCCCACCATCATCAAAGGCTGATTACCTTTACTAAGAGATTTATGTCCTCTGGAGAGAGCAGGGGTGGGGAACCCTGTGGAATGAGAAATTAATTATCTCAGGCAATTCTGAAAGGCATCCAAACATTAAAATTTTTCCAGAACATGCTCATGGATTCTCATTGATTTCCCTTGCCCTCCCTAGAACTCACTTGCCCAAACATGTACTGCCCACCCTGTATTACCAATGCACTTCATCATACCTGAGATGAGCTCTTGCTGAGGGTATTTTATTTACATGCAGAATATCCAGTTATTTTCATACCATTCCAAAGGCACCACAGATACTTTTATCATAACCCGTTAGTGTGTCTTTGTGTTTTTTCCATTGCTCTGCTGGGAAAAGCAGCAGTGGAAAAGCACCAAAGTGCACTTCTGAGATGAGGTGTACAGGCAGAAACTGAGTTAAAAGGAAGATATAATACAGGAGTGAAGTTACATACTGGTTTTCCAGGAGGTCCTCTTTCCCCTGGATTTCCAGGTAGACCCTAGAGATCAAGAGAAAGAAAAAAATGGTGAAATTATCATACAACAGCCTCCTGGTTTCTCCTGCACTCTGCTGACTGCTCTGGACTAGCACACATTTTATTTTCTGCCACTGAGCAGCACTGCTTCTTGCATGTGACTAATAGTAAACTCCCTAAATACCTGCAAGTATGTCCTCTGAACCCTTCCTAAATCTCACCTACCTACTGTGTGACCTTGTTAGATTCATTTGAGCCACACAGACAATAAAATTGCTTTAGAATGTCTTCTGGTCACAGAAAACACTATGAACTGCATTAGTGTGAAGGATAAAGGTTTGCATCCCTGAAGGCATCTGTAACATGCAAAGTCAAGATCTTGCTTTGCACAGACCTTGCAAACAGGTCCCTTGCACCTGAAGTAGCAGTGAGGCTTCATGTTTGTTTGTTTGCTTGTGGAAGTGTAATGGTATCAGTTTTCATGAGATGAAGGCATAGAAATTGCCAGCATCCTCAGAATTTTAAGTCCAGAAAATCATGGTTTGGAAAAGGGACAATCCCCTACCCCTCTTACCTGTCATTACCAAGTCATTAGTTGAAAACAAAACAGAAAACATATCTGAAGAGAATTGTTAAATCTTTGCATAAAGATTGGGAAACCTTATCTTTTGAACCAGACAGCTGGTCACTGCCCAGATGGTGTCTGAAATCTGCACTGTGAGGATCTTTGCAGTGGTGTTTTAAGATTGACAGGGTGAGATTTCCCAAAATCATTTTCTGCTAAACTCCTGCATCCACCTGTGTCATCACACATGTTCTATCCATATTGAGAACCTTAAAGGACACATAAAGTATCTTCCATCTATCTTATCCACATACAAAATGCTGTTCTCCATCACCATCTAAGAGCATCTTATCTGTGTTCAGTTTTGTTGATTCTGCAGCAGGTCCCACCTGGAGTGGTCCTGCATTTGAAGAATGCTCCTCTGAGCTGAAATGGACAAACCAGGTGTATGATGGTGGCACTTCAGCATGTCACATTATCAAAGAACAGGCAAATGGAAGCAGAGTCCAAAACAGAGGAAAGATTGCTGGACTGTACAGGGCTGGAGTTAGAAAAGGCTGATGAAAAGAACAAAGCTGCAAACATAGAATCACAGAATCAGAATATCCTGAGTTGGAAAGGACCCACAAGGATTACCCAGTCCAGCTCCTGGATAGGACCATCCTAAGAATCACACCATGTGCCTGACAGCATAGTCCAAATGCTTCTTGAACTCTGGCAGGTTTAGCTCCCTAACCACTTCCCTCAGGAGCCTGTTTCAGTGACCCACCACCATCTGGGTGAAGAATTTTTTCCGAATATCCAACCTAAGCCTTCCCTCACACAACTTCAGATTGCTCTGAGCAGAATGAAAATGCTAGAAGAAAGACACAGAGGGTATAACTGCATCTGGCAAGCTAATAGGGGAGGTAACTGGAATAGAGAAAGCCGGAAAAGAAAAAAAAATGAGCCTGCCCAAAAATCTGCATGGCACTGAAAAGAAATGCTGTTAACATGATGTGGGAAAATGTGCAGACCTAAATAACAACCAGTGTTGGAAAGCTCATAAAGTTTGAACAATTTCAGGAGCCTGCAGCCAACAGTGACTGGCACAAAGTAGAATATCCAATGAGTAGTACAGCACACCAGAGCAGGGAGAAGATGCCAGCAATGTGGAGGTGTGGTGCACAGGATCCAGAGCATCAGTCTGCAAAATTTGACACACAGGAATACTTTTTGGCTGGGAACAGGTGGAAACTGTGCAGATGACATGTTGAAAAACTGAGGCTCATGTAAGTGGTGTATGTGAAAATACATGACTTAAATAAAGTTTATAAGGAAAGCACGTAAGTCACAGAGGCTTACAGCAGGGTAATCTTATTAAAAGACTGAAAATTAAACTTGAAATGCAATAGCTTGAATAGGTTATAAGTCACAGAAACAAAGAGATGATAGGAGGTTTAATAAGTGTTCCCTGATTTGGGGTGTAAGTACCCTAAAATAATCACAAGTCCTAAAAAAAGCACTTTTAACTGCATGGGAAAATCAAGCCCAGAAACTCTGGTTTTCAGATGCAGTGGAGTAATGTATGCATCCACAAAGCTGTTGTAATTATGAAAGCAAATGCAGGGAAAGATTAACTTCCCAGTAATATTGGAACTTAGTTACCATAAATAATTAACCTAATTAAAAAGTGATTTATTCAATGTTTATGTTAATTAAAATTATCAGAATCAAAATACAGAAAGAATCTATTAAATGGGTGCCCTCACTGCTAATAGTAGGACAAGAGAATGTCTCAGAGTGTTTCCTAATCTAAGGGAATTAAGTAGGTATGTCAAACAGAAATGTTATCTCCCAGCAGATGGTCAGAGGAGAATGGAGAATTCCCAAAACATGTGTTTGTTCAGGCAGTGTCTGCTCCTTTATGGGGATCTGGTCAAGAACCTTTTTCAGTACACCAAGAGAAAATAAGGAAAAAGCCACAAATTAGAACATCAAGGACACAAACCTGAACAACAAATAAGGATGGCAGTGATAGAACTAAACCTGGACATTCACATTAATTCATGAAGGAGTGTGTGTGTGAGGAAGTTTAATAAGGAGCGATAGAACTAAACCTGGACATTCACACTAATTGATGAAGGAGTGTGTGTGTGAGGAAGTTTATTCCAGCAAGGTTATCTGATCCAGGACCTTGTCAACTGGGAAATTAAGGGAAAAGGAGGAAATTGGAAAGAAAATATGGCAAGACACCACAGACCTAACAAGAACAAATCTTGTCATTCACACTAATTGATGGGCTACGATAGAACTAAACCTGGACATTCACACTAATTGATGAAGGAGTGTGTGTGTGAGGAAGTTTATTCCAGCAAGGTTATCTGATCCAGGACCTTGTCAACTGGGAAATTAAGGGAAAAGGAGGAAATTGGAAAGAAAATATGGCAAGACACCACAGACCTAACAAGAACAAATCTTGTCATTCACACTAATTGATGGGCTATCGAGAAACCACAGGCTGCACTTCCAGGGAGATCAACCTGGACTTAGCAAGATTGCAAAACAGGGAGACCCTGAACAGGGAGGGGTGCAGGAATTTGGTGAGCTGGTTAAGTGCAAGAGGGGCTGTGCAGGGGAAGGGGGAGTGGAGAGTAACACACAGTGAGGTAGACTAAAAATGGTATAAGAAGGGCTGGTCATGCATAAAACAGGGTTGGTCAGTGCACTTGTTTGGCTGAGCATTGTAGGTGACCACTATGGTTTGTCCTATCATCGTATATCTTATAAACATTTTCACAGAATCACAAAATGGTTTGGGTAGGAAGGGACCTTAAAGATCATCTGTCTCTCCTGCCATGGCCAGGGACACCTTCTGCTGGACCAGGCTGTTCAAAGTCCCATCCAACCTGGCCTTTAACACTTCCAGGGTTGGGGCATCCACAGCGTCTCTGAGCATCTTGTGCCAGTACCTACTACATGTACAGTAAAAAAAATAAAAAATTCTTCCTCCTATCTAATTTAAATCTACCTAACAAGCAGGAGAGACCTGGTCTGCAGCAGCTGGAGGAGACAGCCATGCACATAACATCATTCAGCATGTAGAAGTATTGTTTTATAATTCTCAGACTAGGAGATTGGCCAGTTACTCTGAGAGAAGGTACTTAAGGCTACACTATTTTAATATTTGACACAGGAATACTGCCAGATTAAAAGGTGATTTGGATTTATTTTCTTTTTCCAAAAGCAAGTAGAAGTAATTTTTTAAGTGACTGAGGCCATTAAAGCATGCACAATATGTAGTAGTTCTGTTATGGAACAAATTAATTGTATTATTGGGAAAAACAGAGAACTAAAAAAAGCACTTTTCAGGCTTTAAGAATTGGAGCTTTAGTTAATGAGAAAAAAATGCAAATTTAAAGACAAGAAAATAATTTATATGGGAAAAGACAGCATGTCCCAGCTTTGTTCCAGAAGGAGAATATTTAGGGATTTATGGACATAATGGACTCCAATGGATAAAGAAACACCAAGCATTTTGCTAAGAGGAACAGAACAAAGCCAAAGCAGCACAATTGTACTGTAATCCTAGACAAGCATTTTCAAAACCTAAATTTTAGTAAAACAAGACACTGTCCTGAGTACTCTTGGTATTTGATTGAGTTGGCAACAGGTATTTCAAAAGGTGACCTTGGGCAGTGCTATCACACACACTTTTAGGGCACCAGAAAAAAGCTAGAATGTAATCATGTATAGAACCAAATTTACTCATCACCAACGAAAGATAATTCTGGCCAAAGCTATTGCAAAAGAACTATTGACTCTTCCACCTCCCCAAATACAATTGCAAATCTGATTTGCAGTATCAGTGAATACAACAGCTTATAGTAGACACTTCCAAAAGTATCTGATGAGCTTGCAAATGGAAAAGATAGTTCAGAGAATAACTTAATGTATGTAAATGTGATTTAGAAGAATTATTCTCTCTCA